TTTAGTTACACATAATAAATAAGTACTTTAAATTAAAGGTATGTAGGATAATTTTGACTCAAAACTCGACTCAACTCGACTCATTAGGAACACTATATTTTATCATTTATACTTGATTTAATCAATAATCGAAGTAAATTTTATTACTTTTTTTTTATTTAGGTTTTAGTGATCAGTTACCTGAATATAAGAAAATTAATTGCATTAAAAAATAAATAAATAATAAATTGTATTACTTAAATTTGTATTACATAATTTAATCAATAATTAATAAACTGTATTACTAATAATTAATAAATTGTATTTTGCTGATAAAAACAAAATTTTTTTTATCATTTTTTTTTAAAAGAAACTTTATTATTTTAATATGATAAAATACAAATTTCAGTCAGCAAAAAACTTTTCTACTATAAGTAATTTTATTATATAATATTCTATTACTATAATAATATACATAAAATTTATAGCTAAACTTTTAATTTCAATTTTGAAATACAGTTTGTTCTTCAATTTTTTTATAGTAATTTTTCTTAAGGTCACTTTTATTATCATCTTCTGATTCACTTTCATTACTATCTATCTTTCCACTTTTATCATTTTTTGATTCACTTTTATTATAGTTTGAATCATTTCTATCACTGTTTTCTATCTTATTTTTATTTTTTTATCTTTAATCATCTTTTTAGAATCTTTTCTACTTACCTTATTTTCTAATTGATTAAAATTAAAAATTAAATATCTTCTATACCATATATAGCATTTAAAATACCACAATACTTAAATGAATGTCTGATCATATTGATATCAATAACATCTTAATTTTCTTTTACCCATCTTGTAACAAGTGAGTAGGATGGTCTTTTGATTTTTTCAGATAGGGTATACTTCTTAATAACTTTATACATTTAGTTATTATAAAGATTTATACCTAATTTAAAAAATTAAAAGGTAATTTAATAAATGATTTAATTATTTAATTTGTTTTAGTAAATTAATTACCTTTAATTTAAAAGATTTATTTAGTAATACATTGAGTGACTATAAACGAGATATTAGGCTACCTGAAATAATAGCTAAATCAGTCTTTTTTTTATGAAATTATTGCTTTAATACATTAGTTTTATATGCAAAAAAAGAATCTAATACTAAAAGAGATTTTGGAATATTGCTTCAATTTGTACATTTTGTCTAAACATTTTCTATTCAATAGAGTATCTTATTTTCATTCATCTAGCCTTTAAGATTAGTACAGATTATTACACTATCAGAAAACTTTTCACATGAAATTTTTTTAAGTTTAAAAATAATAACTGATAGTAGTTTCATCCCATTAGTTATACAAGCTAAAATAACTGTAAAATTGGAACGTTTATGATCAGTTATTAGAATTAAAACAGTTTAGTACTAGCTTACTTAATTGTTATATTATTTAGTAGGTTAAATACTATTAGCGTTTTATCCATATTTCTCATTAAAGCTAATAAATAATCATACTTCTTTCTATGATATAGAATATACAAAAGGAATTCATATTGTTGCTCTATATAGTTTTCTGAAAGATGTTGAGTAACTATGACCCTTTTTTTATTAACTAGTTTATGATAAAATATAAAGCCATCAACCCACTTTTGAGAAAATCTGACATTTTCTATATCTGGATATTCAGCTTGGTATCATAGTTTTTTAGCTAAAATTTATACTTTAACTTGAATTATATAACGAGTTATTATTTTTAAGATTCTTTAACCTATTCTATAATTTTATTTTTAAGGTATAAGTATTTTGAATATATATCTGTATTTAGTCTTAAGTATAAGAAGTTATGTTTAAAAACTTTTTTTTTATTTTTAATCTATTTACAAAGCTGTTTTGACTTAATATTATATTTTTCTATTATTGACCATTTACTATAGCTATTTTTATAATACATTATTATCATTAGCTTCTCTCATACTGATCAGTATCTATTTTTTCTTTTTGTAATATAAGTATGACAAGCCTTAAAGTTTCTACAGATTATCTTTTTAAAAATATTATTTAAAAGATATTTGAAGATTTTTTTGTGTAATAAAGAAAATTGTTGGAGAGTAAAATACAACAAGAAGGTATGAAAATTTTTAACGCATTTGTGTAATTTTATTCAATATAAATAGCTAATAAAAATATTTATATCTCTAAATATTGCTAAATCAGTTATTAATGAATGTAATGTTATAGTAAAAAGGATAATATATAGATTTGGTAAAATATAAAAGTGGTAAATTTAAATTACAATAATATAAGAATAAATGTAAAATTGATTTAAAAAATGAAAATTTACATATTTTTTACAGTAATTTTATAAATTTTATTATAATAAAAGAAAGGTTAAATGCAACATATTAATCTAGCAAAGTTTATTATAAAATACAGTATTAATAAATTTAAAGTAAGAGAGTGTGAAATTATACTTATTAAAAAAAGAATCTTAAGATCAGAGATCAGACTAATCAGCTAATTTAGTAATGAATATACAGAGGGCTGCCAAAAGTCTCTGAATATTATTTTTTAGGTATGATTTCATGCCGTTAACATCATGTGACTTAATAATACTGCAGTCATATGATGTTTTGGACCTTGTTTACATGAATCAAACATAATAAATGCGTGTCTGATTTGTTTATTTTGATTTTGAATCAAAATAAACTTTAATTCCAAAAATACCTAAATAATGTCTAAAGAATTAACTGCAGAACAATGCGGCGCTATATTTTTTTGCCATCAACGCAGTGATAGTTACTGAACTATTATCATGACAGTCGGATGTGGTGTATCAACAGTATTTGATACTTTGAAAAGAATGGATGAAACTGGAATAACTAATTTGAGGCCTCGCTCCAGCCGACTATCCCTTCTTAGACCTTTACAATAAAACTGGCTTAAGAAATTTGTAACCAATAATAATGGAAAGAACCATCGTTTATGTATTCCAGAAATTCAACAATTCTGGAATAAAAAGACTGGCCAAGTTATTTCAACTTGTACTATTGGCTGTGCATTTTGTGCAGTTGGATTAAATAATCGTATTACTCAACATAAGCCTTTAATCTTATCAGTAAATATGAAGGCACGTTTTACATGGTGCTTAGAACATCAAAGTTAGACAAAGGACGATTGGTTGAAAGTTCTGTGAAGTGACGAGTTGACCTTTTCTCAATTTCAACAATCTCAGTGCAATAGAGTTTGGTGAGAACCTAGTGAAGAATACAACATTTCTTGTGTTTCTGCAACAGTAAAGCATAGCCCAAGTCGAATGTTTTGGGATGCTTTTCGAGACAAGGTGTAGGACCTATTATTCCATTATTTAGAACAGCAACCAGTACCTCACATATTACTATTCTTTAAAGGTTTGTTATGCAAACCATGAGGCGTGTATTTCCAAATAGTAATGATTAGTTCCAGGAGGATAACACTTGTTCACACACATTGAAAGTTGCGAAGAAATTTCATACAGAAAATGGCTTGCGCAAACTTTTTTAGCCAGCTCAAAGTCCAGACCTTAATCCGATTGAAAACCTGTGGGCAGATGTTAAAAAAAGCATTCGTAAAAGGAAAAAAATGCCTTTCAATATTGCTGAACTTGAACAACATATTAATAAGATATGGAGAAAAATTCTGATACAAAACTATCGAAAATTTAGTTGATAGTATGCTATAAAAATTCAAGCTGTGATTAAAGCAAAGAGAGGCCCAACTAAGTATTAATTACTTAATATAAAACTTAGCAAATATCTTATTTTAATAAAGATATTAATAAACTTTTTTATTCATATTATAAAATTTTAAGTTTTTTAATGAGCTAAAAAGTGTTCAGAGACTTTTAACGGCTCTCTGTAATAGTAATATAATACCTCTGCGATAAAATACCATACTGCCTAATATATCTTACACCTCATAAAATACCTACAGATATAATTTAATTTTTAAATTGCTAAAATTGATATAGACCCAGGGTATTTTATGCAATATTATACAATATAAAATAATAGTAAAATTGTAACCCTAATAAACGAATAAGTAATACTAATAAAAAATTATTTTATGACTATTTGTCGAATAACTAAATAAATTTTTTTTTGTTTTATGAAAATCTAAATTTTTTTTAAACAAAAAAAAAATGTGAAAATTATTTTCTAAGACAAATAATGACTATTAAAAATTCTCTTTCAAAAATACCAATTTTGGTAATTAAATTTTTTAGTAAAAAGAGAAGGAGGTTCAGGTTAATTTGCCTAAATCCTAGGGGCAGAGATAATGATTTATTATGATTATAAAATTTCACAGAAAATCACAAAATTTGGTTCAGGTTTTTGGCCTAATTTAGGATTTGCAATTATTGTAATTCCGATAAACACTAAATTTGGGCAGAATTTACGAGTCGTAATGTTGGCTAACCTTGCTTAATTCCGGCCAAATCACAAAATTTCACAGAATTTACTTTTATCACACACAAAATTTACTTTATATCACCACAAAAAATCATCGTTCCCGCCCGGGGGTCTAGAATTATAACGCTCTTTATTTTATTATTCAACTAAGCCATCCATAAATCAAATCACGTGCACATAAAATCACGTGTCAGAGGATTTCGCGTACCCTGTTTGGCGTTTTTTTCCTCTAAAACTCTTTGAACTCTATTACGCTACTTCTAAACATCAAACATGAAAGATTTACATCGCTTACATAAAGCCATCAGAGACTATTTTGATTATACACCTGTTGAAGAATGGTCATATCTTAATTTTTTAGAAACATTTAAACCCGTCATTATGTCAAAATTGGATGTCCCAAAACAAGAAGATAAAGGTACATGGAGAAAGAGATTTATAACACGTTTAGATAAGATTGCGGAAGATGACGCGTATAATGAACAACAAAGAAAGTTGGCGATTCGCTTGAAAGAAAAGGTATTTTAGCAATAATTTCTTTTTTAAAACAGTCAAGACAGTTCTACACAGCCAAAGGATGGTTTCGTTCCCTCTTGAGGTATGATGGTTTCGTTCCCTCCGTGTAGTTACTGTCGGTGTCATTACTAGCCAAGGATGGTTTCGTCCCCTCTGAGGTGATGATGGTTTCGTTCCCTCGTACGATACCCGACTGTTTCTGAATTTTGAATCATTAGTTTTGGATGATTTAAGAGTTCTGCATAGACTAAATTATAAGTAATTATAAGTTTAATCTCATCACATTTTTAGAACCCCTCGTCTGCAGATACTTCTGGAACCATATTGAAAAAGAGAAAGAAGATTTACGTGGAAAACGAGAGATTGTGAATAAGACTGTATGTATTATCCCTACATATAATTTATGTTACATGTCCTAAACCTTCTACTTGTCAACTCTAGAATTCAGTACGCAACAATACAGAAATAGAAGCCCTAGATCTATTAGATACTGCACGCACAGAAAAAGCGAAAGAAATTTTGAGCTCATTGTTTCTTTATATTAGTTCCTCTAGTGATTATACTAAAGAAGGCGAAGAAGAATATGAGAAGGATGAGAACTACAGTGATGACACAGAGGAAGATAATGAAAATCGAATAACCCAAGAAAAAAAGGAACAATTTCGAAAAATTTTCCAGGGGATACCTACGGAGGCAAAGCTTGTCTTAAATTCAAAAACTGTTGTTGAGGATGTCCTATTTGAATATGCAAAAGATCTTGATTATGAGAGGTAAATTCATTTAATACGAATTTTTTAGCATTTTCTACTTTACCATATTGAATAAATTATAGCCATGCACACTCCTTCATCATATGTGATCATGATGATAAAATAAAAGCATTATTCAGTAAAGAAGACCGGAAAGAACTCACGAAGAAGCCTTCACTGCCGTCCGTTGATTATGAAATTGGAAAAGAATTGGCCAAGTACATGAAAGAAGATCTTGTTGAACTTCGCCAAGAAGTGATGTGCAATTTCCTGAAAGATAAAGAATTTTATGATCCAAAGAAGCATTACTTAAAAGAATGGATCCAAGTTACATTGAGACATCTGTGCAATCTTTATGAAAATCCATCTGCTCCTTTGTGCCGGGAACAGTACGAGGACTGGTTTACAGTCAACCTGTTTGGAAATTGCTTTGATTTCTTGATGAGACACCCAAGAATGTCTACGGATATCAAAAGGACAGATGCACCATCAACTGCCTCAGAAAATAGGAAAAATCGAGCTAGAAAACCAAAACAAAGAAAATTGACTGGCAGAAAGATTGATGGAATTATTCATCATCCAACTTATAATATAGAATTGGGTGCACTTGAAGCGGCAAGATCCTTCGTAAATGATGGAGATAGAAAACTTCTTATTGAGTCTTTTAAAATGCCGAAGACTTTGAAGGATATTTTAGTTGATATGATAAGATCAAAACGATGCAATGATAAGGAAGTGAATAAGCTGGTGGCCATCGGTATCCTGCATTTTCGCTATAACATTCAGTTTGTAAGGTTATGGTTGGCTGGAGGTTCTATATGTATCTTTTCGAAAGATGATATTCATTCTATCTCCGATCACTTTTCTAAAACAAGCCATTTAGATTTTCTTAACTTCTTTTTATAAATACACTTATAAGATTCTTTGGACTTTTAAAATTCACAAATGTTTTTTTTCAGATTATAATTGAAAACAATTTAAAGGCACTTGGATTCTTCGAACAGAAGACCCCAAAGGAAGATGTTTTTAAGGAGGAGGATCTTATTTCAGAAATCTTAGACAATGGCCAGGACCTTTCGCAACCAACAACTCCTGAAAACATAAATTCTATTGTAGATTGCTTTGAAACACCACATAAAAAGAAAAATAAACTAAATAAAAAAACACCGGAGAAAATGATAAATAAAAAGAGAAGAGCAGTATAAAATGTTCATAACATATGTAATAGATGGATTAGTTTTTGTTCACATCGGGCTCACCTTTTAGCAGTGTACTGTACATTGTATGCATTGAAATAATGTACAGTAAATTATGTTTTCCTCAGGCATAAATATCAATAAAGTTTCGCCATAATTCGGACATGTATTTTTTACATATGTACGGGTGTGTGTAATGCATTGGAATAAATAATGTTTTTTGATCGTCGCTAACGGAAAAAAAAATAAAGGTAACAAACACCGCGCCATGAATGAGGCTCGCTGATGACGTATTTTTCTCGCCTGGCGTTAAACCCACAAAAAATGAATCATACAAATGTATTAAAGTTTTATGCTTATTTAGTAAGACCCAATTCTCGGATAACTACATATTCTTCGTAATACCAAGCATACCTAGAGCAATCCAATTCTCTTCGCACAATTCTTTCTTGAGTTGATCCCGTGCTTGCTGTTTGATAAAATTATTGAGATCTCCACCATGAAAAATTCGTGATATTTTCATATTGCGGATAAAATATATCAAGTTCTAGTCCATTTGGATATTCTTGTGTTAAGAAATCGGGTCTGCGGATTGGTGAAGAGCCATTAAGATATTTTGTTAAAATATTATGACATAACTTTTCTCTCTTAGATTTTGGGCAGAATGGACAACAAGTTCCTTATTGAATACTATTAGGAATAGCTTCCCCATAGATATTTAAACTCGCAAATCCATTCTAGCTTGGTACGTGAGTTATAGTATCAGTGCGAGTTTACGCATATCCTCAATTGTTTGATAACGACCAATGCAAAAAATGGACACCATTGTTCTCTATTTTTAATGTGATAAAGTGTATTTTGCCATTGATAGTTAAATTGGCAATGTCATGTAAGCGGTTCATCTATGTTTTTATACTCAGTCGAAAGACATTTCCCGCCTCTAGATAATGCAATTTGCTTGCATCCTGATTAAACAAACTATTCCAAATACGACCTTGATGGCATTTTCATATCATCAGAGTTTAGAATTACTATATGCAGTTGAAAGGTATTTACCCTAGCATCCTCAAGAGTAAAACGCATTTCCTGCATAATATGGACAACATTTACCACGTTACATTCCATCAGACCTTTAATGCAACGCTATAGTAATGACAATCGATGATTAACATATTTTTTTGATAGACATTCTCCATACTTTAATAGTGCAATTTGTTTAGCAACCTCAAGAGTAAGTTCATATTACCTGCACATTGTCCTAAATTTTTAATTCTAGAAAGTGAGGCATGGTTCTTAAACAGAGCAATATTAATGGAGTTTTTCTTTATAATCAGTTAAAAGACATATCCCATCACGTTCTTTAGCAATCATACATGCATCATTTAATGATAGCTTTATCTTTGTTTTTTTGTCATAACCAAATCTCTTTATATAAACCTAATGAAGTATCAAATCTTAATCTAGGATCACCCTCAGGTTTATTTAAGTCAAATACAACAAATTCTTCTTTTCATAAATAGCTATTAATAACTATTGATGCATCTTTTATATTATTAGTATAACATTTAATAATTTTGAAGATATCTTCATATAAGCTACCGGAGTTAAACATCATTAGATAGAATGTATTTTTACAAATAATAATAGGAACCTTATAATAAATATTGTGTTATATAAATGTGTGAAATATTTCTGTAGTACTCATGAGTTAAGAAAGAGATAATTTGATTTTGTATATATTCTAAAGTGACATACAAGTTTTCAGAAATGATAAGATACACCTTTTTGATGAAAATAATTTTACATTTGAAATCCTTTTAGAAAAAATATAGCTGAATTGTATATTCTCATAATATAGCACTCTTGGATCTTTTGAAATTATATTATATATATATCTTATACATATATCTTATAAATGCTCATTTTAATTTTTTAAAATAGTAATTATATACTATTAAATTATCACATCTAATATATTGGATTCCCTCTTTTGTCTTTTATATATATACTCACTTATTTTCAAAAACAAGATTAGCAAATAAATTAATCTTATCTTTACTATTTCTTCTAATAATTAGCTTAATAAAAAATTATATTATTACTAAATATCTTGCATTTTAAAATGATTCATATTTCATCATCTTATTTATATTCATAAAAAAGTTTCATAGAAGGTATTTTTATTTTTAGATTTTTCTGTATAATGAATTAGAATTCATAACTATAGTTTCTATTAAAGAGTATTATATATTTCAAAAGATTTTTCTTTATTAATAGGTAAAATAAAAGAATATAAATTATAAAAAATAGATTACAGTAATCATATAAATAATATTACTACTATAATAAAAATTACAAGCTAAAAAAAGTATTTATTATTATTAACTAAAGCTTTGCTGATTTCTGATTATACTAAAATAGTTTTAAAATTAATAATATATTATCTTTTTCCAGTCTACTAATACCTTTAATCATTTTATTATATTTAAATTTATAAAATATTTTTGGGATCTATTTAGCTAAATGAGTATTAATTTCTTAAAAAAAGTTTTTCTCTATCAATACTTTTTATATAAAACTAAATTATTTTTTTAATTAGTGTATCTTTTAATTCTCTTTTTATCAAATTTAAAATTTAAATAAATATCTATATTAGTTAATTTTATATTTTTTAGTTTTACTTTATGCTTAAATAATTTTATTTTGTTAAATCCTTTTATGCTAAAAAAATATTTTGCTATAATTTCTTTATTTTTGATTGAAAAGCTTGCATTTCTTCTTTCATCTTTGATTAATTTCTTTTAATTTTATAAAGAATATATTCTTAGTATTTATAAGTAAAATATCTTTATAAGTGATTTGAAACTTAAGATTATTTATTTTTAAGAATTAATTATCTTATTTCATTTTTAAATTTAAAATTATTTATTTTTAATTGTAATTGTATTATCTTTTTTTTAAGCTGATAAATATAATTAGATAAATATTTATTTTTTTTATCTAATATATTACATAACCAAAAACTGATTATTATAAATAATAGCAACTTTATACTCTTTATTTATATTTGTAAATTGCTCTTCAAAGTTTTATGCAGTTAAGAAAAATATTAATTAACTAAAGATTTTTAAGTTTATTACTCTTATCTAGATTTTATAAAGTAATTTATATAAATTTATATATTTTAAATTATAACATATTTTATTTTTTTAAAATATTAATAAAAATCATATTTATAATATATAAAATAATTTTAAACATATTTAACAAAGGCTTATTTTAATACAGTCTATTTTAAATGAAAATAATTTCTACTTTTTAAAAGAAATCTTTATTCTAAACAATAATGTAAAACAAATTTCAAAGAAGTATTAGAAATACTAATATACTTTTATTAGCTAAAAAAATACTAAAAAAAGATTAGCTTAAAATAAAACTAAATAGATAATGATATTATTTATTTTAAATATATATTAAATATAAAAATAAAAATAATAATAATAAAATAAACTTTTCTAATATATCTAAATGGAATTTAAACTTAAAAATTTATTAGAAAATATATTATTAGAAAATATTAAAAGATTTGCTCTTATATATTTTTTCTTACTTTTATAAATAAAGAATATCTATCAATATAAATCTTATTTGCTTATAATGCTAAATTAAGTTACTTTTCAAATTTTATATATTTATACATTTTTTTAAATTTTTCTTATTAATTAAGCTAAAAAAATTATAAATATTTAAATTAAATTATGCTTCTTTTTTAATAAAAATTTGACTATTTAAACCTTACTGAATATTAAAATAATATAAAACTTACTATAAACTTTTATGTAAAATTAATTTTTATTTAGATTAAAATTTCTTGAATTTTTTAAATATTTAATATATCTAATAAAGTATTATAATCAGACTTCTATATAGTTATACTTTATATAAGCACACTTCTTTATAATCATCTGATTTATAAAATAGAAAAAATTATTTCTATATAGTCATAAATTAATTATAGTCACTAATACATAAAATTTTTAACTTATATATCATTTTTATAATTGAAATTATCTCTTCACAAGAGATAATTTTAACTAAAATTACTGAAAAATATTACACAAATTTCCTTTTATAAAAATTTATAATATATATATTTTAAAAAGAAAATTGTGAAATTTAATTTTTTGTAGAATAGCTATTACTAAAAAAGAAAATAATTTTTAATTACATAATTTATAAATTATAATTCTAATCAAAATTAAGATAATTAAAAAATTCATACTCCTATAATCAATTTTTAGGGATCTGAATAGGTGATTATATAGAGATCTAACTGTAGTTTAGATTTTCTATTATCAATTTATGTAAATTACTTGTAATTGTAATAATCTAGTTATCTTTTTTATATTAACTAGTATATTTATAAATCATTCTAATAAATTAATAATATACTTAAAATTATCTTCTTTATAAAAACTTGGTTTTTTAATACATAATAACTGCAAAATGATTATATAGTAAGTAAATAGTTACTTTCTTACTTAGTAATAACTTAATTGCAGACTAATAGATACTATACAGTTATTGTATAGTAAAAAAACAAAGTTTCTGTAAAGTTATATTATGAATTAGATAATCTATCACTTTTTCATTTAATTGCATTAATTATTAAATTATTTATATCTTCAAACTTGCTTTTAGAATTTAAAAAAATTAGTAATTATTAGATTATTTATATTATAATACAAGTAATAATGCTGAATGAAACTAAAATATTTAATCATTTGATAAAACTAAAATTATTTAATTTTTAATAATTAAAAATTTGAAATGTCAAAACTTAATTTTTATGGATTTTTTATGAATTTTAACTTATAATTTTTAATAATATTTTATTTTACTATAAATTTTAGAATTTTAGAATTTTTATAAATAAAATATTATTTATTATATTTTGTTAACTATATGAATAATTATTATCTATGATGTTAATTAATAATATATTTTAATTATATATTTAATTAATAATAAATATAAAAGATTTAAATTAAAATTAATAAATATTAAATAATAATATATTTTTTGGTAAAGATAAATAAATAAAAATTTATATTTATATATTATAAAAGCAATTAAGTTTAATCATTTTAGATAAATACAAAATTTGTTAAAAGTTTATTTATAATAAATAGTTTAATCAAGCATCACTAAATATTAATATTATATAGATAAAAATCACTTATCTAATTTTTTCAATTTCTTTTCTTAAGTCTTATAAGATAAACAAATTTTTATATTAGTGATAAGAGCTTAAACAATAGCTAATTATATATTTTAAGTTAATTATTTTTTATAATACCTGTTTTACCAATGATTTATTATACTAATATCACTTATTTCTTTTTTAATATAATAATTATCTACTTCATTATTATTTAAAGTTAAAAATATATATTAGAAATTTATAAATTTAAAAGGAATAAAGTAAAACTGATTAAAATTAGATTATATTTTAATAGAATTGCTACTTTTATTATAATCAGTTTTTTTTATAAATGGCACATTTTGTTATATTTAGTTTTTAAAATTGATTAATTAATTGATTTATAGCATTATTAATTTCATTAAGTCTTTTTTTTTATCCTTTCTATTCTAGTAGAAATATTATTTTATTGTAAATAAAACTTTAAAAAGATTTATAAAATAATTTGAGTTTAAAATTTTTTGATTAAAAAATTCTAGATATTTTAAATATTTAGCTACATAATAATTTTTTAAATTTTTTTCTAATTTTAATGATAATAGAAGATTTTTAATTATCAAATTAATTTAATTGTTTGCAAAGTTAATACAGAATTTTTAAATATATTACATTTTTATTAGTAAATTTTTTGCAAATAAAGATTATTTTATATAAACTAATTTTATAATTCTATACATTAAACTTCAAATTTTACAATATCTATATGTTAAACTTTTTATTAATAATTACAATTCTATATATCAAACTTTTAAAAAATTCAATTTTGTACAAGAAATTATATAAAAATATTTTAAAAAAATACTAAAATTTAATATTATTCTGAATCATTTAAATTTTCTTAATTACTTTTTTTCATTTTCGTTAATACTTCAACTTCTAAAACTCTTGATTTTATATTAGCA